GTGGAAACACGTCTGGGCGAATTAGGCAAAAAAGTGGAAATATATAGTTTGGATACCACATGAATTATCACCACTTCAGCTCCAACACAGGGTTGACTCTTCCATGGAATTAATGACGTCTCATCGCAACTACCAATGTTTGCGCAATCTTATTACTGGCGATGAAAAGTCGGAAGTGGGTGTTGTATGTTAACCGCATACACACCCTCACAGTGGCTGGAAGCTCGGTAAACAGGTGTACCAAAGCCCAAAGATGACCTCCACCCAAAGAAGATCAAGCTTAGCGTTTGGTGGGGAGTAAAAGGAATTATTCATTGGGAACTACTGCAAACAACTGGACCGAGTTGCAGCAAAACTTCAGGGGAAGCAGGATAAAATTAATTTTTTGCATGACAACGCCAGACCTTACATCGCAAAGTCGACTCGGGAAAAATTATTGAAACTCGAATTGATTACCGTTCTACATCCACCTTATTCTCCAGGCTTGGCTCCTACAGACTACCACTTGTATCGTTCTCTGTTAAATCATCTAAGTGAGAAAAAATTCGACGACGAGAAGCATCTCAAAATGGGTATTGTCGACTTCTTCGGCCACAAGTCCCGGTACTTCTACGAACTCGGAATCTTTTCTCTACCAGAGCGTTGGCGACAAGTCATAGATACTAATGGAGCATATATTGTTGAAAGTTGCATTCTTGAAGTTAAAAAATAGAAATAAAATTTTCGAAAAAGAAGCAAAAACTTTCTTGCCAACCCAATATTTGCCGAAATACGTAGAATAGGTTGTTGATGAGAATTTACCATTTAAAACTCTAAGGAAATCTAAAACACCCTGATAATAAATACTTCATATACTGCAATGAAAATCCCTATTTAACAGAATTCCAAAAATCGTACAGGCGTTGATTTAGTTCATCTATGATGAGTAACAAATTATTGTATAAAAATGTATGACAAAAAACTTCATAACAATCTAAATAGATTAAATTAATAATTAGTTGTCTTGATGTTCATCATGGAGATTTATATTGAATAGACAACGTTTTTTCTGCAATGAGTATAATAAGAAAATTTTGTTATAAATTATGTAAATGTATTACAACAAAAATAAAACAAAATAAATGCTTAATACTGATTCGTGAAAAGAATCGAATAAAATTTATTTTGTTGGTTGGAATTTAGAAAGATGAAGCATGGATAACCAATTGATAACGACTATTTCATATAGTAAAAGAAGGAATCTTATGTTGTTTAAACATGTATGTCTATTTCGTACATTTGTTCTTTAAACTAGAAAAAAAAATATAAATTCGAATATATCCTACTCTCAGTAAAACGAATACAACTCTTTATCAGTCGAACAATACGAATTTTCGATAGTTGAATATTTATCGTCATAAGTCTTATTGAAAAAATAATCATATATTCAACATTGAATATTTCGAAAAGAAATCTTTTAATATGTAAATCTTATTCAATTGATTTCTAGATTCATATTGATTATCAAATGCAATAAATGATGTTTTACCAAATTCATTAAATGAAAAAAAAACATAATAAAGGTAAATATTCTAATATTTGATTCTCAAATACAAATAAATTTAATAGAAAACAATAGGATTGACTTTGTTCATGGTATTTATCGAACTGAATGAGAAAGAGAAAAAAATTTCTCTGTCTAAATATTTCATTTATGTTATTTTCTCAAGAAGAACGGAGAAAAATTCATTTAGAAAATCCACATTATGATAATCTGAAATATGGTATTCATTTGTATATCAACAACAACAACAGAAATATCAATTACGTGCTAAACAACTAACAAATAAAATAGCAATATGATCATCTCCTAGAACATATTCACTTTAAATTTGCACAAATATTTAAGGCCGCCCGCTCAAAAACCGATCTCAGTTCAGAAACATTCAAATTAGATAAATCTTTCAGGACATGTTGCGTCTGGAAACAGGAGACTACCATAAAATTTTCAGTTCGAAATCTTCAGGTTTCAGGAAGACATAAACCAAACAAAGGTCAAAATGATCGGAAAAAAAACTTTCTTTAATTAAAACAATATAAAATATGAAGACTATCAGGCCTCGCAACAAAAATAGATTAGATCGAACCTGTCATTGATTTTACATGTAGTCATATGTGAACTTTATGAATCGTTTTTTTTCTTCTTCCCTTTCAAACAACAATAAAAGAATAAATTAATGATATAATAGCATTTATATAAGATCAACATGTACGTAAAACATCATAAAGTATAACCAAACATTTACTTGCTAATCGCAAGATTATGGTATGAATAGATTTAAAAAATAATTGAGGATTTTAAATGAGAACATCTATTTAAATCTAATATTATTTGCAGGTACATAAAATTCAATTTTTTTATTTTACGAAATATATAAATACTAAAATAAAAAGATTCAATACATAAACAATAACTACTATACTGGTCTTTTTCTTAAAAGGATCAAGAAAACTTTTGTTTTTTTTGCATCGATATAACTGATTAGTTCTAATGCGTTCATTGATACATATTCACAGACTAACACTACCGACAAAATTCTATTTATCTCTAAGTCATTTTTTTTTCATGGATGCGTTCATGTGGATTGAAAAAAGACGTGTAACCTTGTTCGGAGTTATGCACACAGTAAATATACACTTTCTAGTCTAAACGTAAGTTTATTCTAAAAAGAAATATTTATCTTTTCAGGGTTATCATACACAACGATATATTTTAATATTCTACGCGTGTTAACTAAATAACGCAAAAAAAAAAAGAAAAAAGTCAATGAGTAATCGGTCTGAGATGACTTCCAAATAAAATATCGTTTGTTTTGATTCTTTATGACATGAGAAATTTCGATGTGATATCAACTATGTGTATATCTCCTTCTTAATATAAATATATAAATCACTCAAATTACACTAGGATGATAGATATGTATTAGATACGGCCTCTGCATACAAGGAATCACGGGTGACAAATTTCTTTTGTAATACAAAATCAACCGATTACTGATGAATTCATTAGACGTGGAAGCAGCTGTTGTCTGTCAACTGGTTATTATCATTCCATTGTTTGTAGTGTTGCGCAATTGAATGTGTTAGGGCACGAATAGTCAAAAAGTAGGCGTCAACAGGTGCTCAATCTTTTTCAACCTATGACATCATATGACGCTACAGAACTTTCATCATCACCAAAACTTATTCATATTCATATCTGCGTATTCATTTTCTTTTAGTTGTTATTATTGTCAACATCAACAAACACACTTACATACATAGATCTGGCAGAGAATAAAAGAATTCTCTTTCACAATATTATTCATTCTTACCACCAGTATGAGTAAGTGTAGTTCAAAATAAAGGAATAAGAAAGATTAGAATAATTCTAAAGCCAATAGAATGACAAGTGTCAACTGTATATTCATTGATAAACACCTACATATGAATGGATCTTTTGAAAATTTTACCACTATTTAACGCCTACATAGACATACGTGCAAAGTATCAACGTAAAGAAAATATTAATTTTGATGTTTGTTTCTCTTTTTTTCGTCTTCGTCTGCTCCATATCAGATGCAAAACGAAAGTATGTAGACAGAATAGAGGAAAAATATTTTAAAAAAATCCCTAAGAAAAGAAACACTAAAGAGAGAGAGAAATTATGTAATAGACTACTACTACCTACATCGAATACACAAAATGTAAAAACAAAGAAAAAAGTTAATATCTCTTCTGCTTTCTAGGATGATAGGACGGGCAGCTGTAGCACAATGACTGATATAATTCATGCGATTTATCAACTATTTGTCGATGTCTCAATGATATTATCTATGTTGTGTCAAAACATATTAAAAAAGAATCACAACATTCATTTTTCTTTCTCTTTCTCCTTGAATAGCATGAGGCAAATGATGAATGATGACGGTCGTTTACTTGCCGCCTTCATATCCACGCTCCGTTAGGCAACTTGAGCACACACAAACTAAATGCACATATGTTGCTGTACACAATAGACGCGCGTATATACACATATATACATTTTCTTTCTTTGCCTTTCTTTTGATAAACTGGTGTTATAGCAAATAGAAAAGTGAGTTAAAAGTATGAGTCAAAGTTTGTTTCTTTTATTCGCTGAACAATCTATTCTGTCTTACTGTCACTCTTTATTAACAATGTAAGATAAGAATAGATGTTTTTTCGATAAATTATCATCGGATATCAAGGCAAATCCCATAAGATGTAACAAAACAATCTTATTTTTCTTTGTTCATGTGTTTATATGCTAAATAGAGTTTCCTCTTTCTTTCGTAGATCGGTGAACAAGTAATACTTGTCGAGACATTTATTCTTTGTTTAGTCACTACCACCTCAGTCCGATAGCTCAATCAATTGAATTATAATTACACGAATGTCTATATATTTTTTGTATAGAGCCGCACAATCGATTTTGTTTTTATTGCTGTCTCTGTTGTTCGGACCGAACGAGCGGCCAGACGGACGACGACCGAGTAGACATACGCATACGTATACATATTCACAATTCTTTGTTTGATGCCCTTTTGTATTATGATGGTGTCACGAAAAATGAGAACGAGAAATAGAGAGAATTTCTTATTACACACCATTATTGTAGAAAAAGAAAGAAAGAAAGAGAGGGAGAGAGAGAGAGAGAGAGAGAGAGAGAAGAAAAAAGAATAAGAAAAAGAAATAATTTGACCCTCACATGGTTGTAGTTGAAACCACTATGATCCATATATCGTCCTTAAAGAGAGATTTACATATAAATATGTGTAGTATGAAGTATTTCCAAGGCTCATCTCAAATGGCAAAGATTTACAAACAAATACGTAGTATCATTTGTTACTCATTATTTGAATAATTCTCTAGTTCTCTTTTTTTTTTGTTTTGTTTAATTTAGATATGAATTTTAATCGGTAATAATAACATCATTATTAACATACACATACATATTTATCATGAATGCATCATCATTTAATTCTAATGAACAAGAACAATCAGTGACAAATCTTGTTAAAATTCATTCATTATCACAATTACTTAAACGTGACCGAGAACAGTTATTAACACAATCTCGTTCTATAGCATATTATCACCCACATATCGATCGTGATAAAGCCGAACAATTATTACGTGCTAAATATACACGTTATAAACGTGATGGTTTATTTTTATTACGCGATTGTACAACATCACCACATGATTTTAGTTTATCAGTTGTTTGTGGTGATAAATGTTATCATTATAAAATACAACTTATTTATGACATCTATTTTTCTATTGGTATGTCTATATAATTATGATTATATTAGTATTAGAATAAATTAAAAATTATTATTATCTTTGTTTTCTTCTATAATAGATTCAGGCCCTCAAATAGCTGGTATCGAAAGCGTAATAAGCTATTATCAACAACTATCTGATGGTCTTGCTTGTATACTTTCCAATGATTTTGTTCAAGGTCAACCTCCTCCTACTGCTGCTCGACGTTTTGGTTCAACAAATACATTACATCGAGCTTGTAAACAAGGCAATTTTGATATAGTCAAGAAAATTCTTTCGCCAGAAACATTAATGAATCGACCGGATGTTAATGGAAAAGATTCATTCGGATCTACGGCACTACATGAAGCAAGTTATTTCGGCCATGATGATATTGTTCGTTTGCTAATTAAAGCTGGTGCTCATGTTCTTTCGCGTGATACGAACGGTGCTACAGCTTTACATAAAGTAAATAATGAAAAGTAAAAATAGTTAAAAACGAAATAAATTATATTCTGTTTTAGGCAGCAGCCGGTAATCGTCCATCAACATTACTTATTTTAATAGCTGAAGGCTTTGCTGATTATGAAGAACGTAATTATACCAATCATTGGGTACCATTGCATGAGGCAGCTTTTCATAATTCAACGGCCTGTGTTCAGGTTTTGCTTGATTGTGGTGCTCCACTCCGTCCGCGTACAGATCAAGGAAAAACTCCTCTTGATTTAGCTGAAGAAGTTAAATCTGAAGAATCAATTAGTTTACTTCGAGACTATATAGTTCCACCTGCAGAATCGCGTCGTGCTGATTGGTTACATGATCAGCCAAAATTTGATCGTATTGCTGCAAAACAATTAATTGAATCAATGCAAAATGGTCCGCATAATGGAATGTTTGTTGTTCGTCATAGTTCGAAAAATCCACAAAATTATGCATTAACACTTTATAATGACAATGAGTTTTTTAATTATGAAATTGTTCATCTTAATGATATCACATATTACATCGATGATGGACCTTACTTTGAGTCACTTGATCATTTAATAGATCATTATTGTCGAATACCAGATGGCCTACCAACCACATTAACATGTTCAATAGATTCGTTGGGACAAATCAATAATAGTCGAATTCAGCCATTCTCGCTAAAATCAGCTATTTATCATGCTAAAAGTAAATGTTAAACATTTGAATATACTATATTGCTTGAAGAATAAATAGTTGAACTTTATATTTTCGATATATCATCACAATAGGTTTGTATTCTTACAACAGTAATTACATATTTAGTTAGTAGACAAAAATTTCAACGAACATAAACATTTCAACAGAAATCCTACTACACTGAATAGATTGCGCCGTCATTAGGTTTCCTGTACGTAAATGTATGCTTTGTTCCTTTTTCTTTCAAATGTATTTTAATCTGAACGTAAGCTGTTATAAAAATGTATGAAATCCTCTATTATGTTGAAAATTAACTAAATATAACTTTCTATCAAAAAAATTCTAAATAGCAGCATGATTACAACTGCCAAGCGAGTCATTTTCCATATAGTATCTTATTTCAATATTAGATGACTAATTCGGTAGTTCAAGAATAGTTATGTCGAGTCGCCAAGATTTAAAATCTTTCAATAGTAAATAGTTCAGGATAATAGAAAATTGCATGGATTTTGGAAATAAATACTTTTTGTTAGAATTAATTTTTCTTAGATTAAAATAAAGAATGAAAAAGGAACAAACAATGTATTTTCATGAGAATGTGACAATGTACATGTCTTCATTCTATTTGAATTTCTATTTCAGCAAATATATGCATAGATAGTATAGTAGAGAATTCCTTGAACTATCAGAATACATAATTACTGTCGTATATATTGTAATTCAAAGCTACGATATATTATAAAGTCGAACTATTTGTTTTCCAATAGAATCTAAAATGAGAAAATTGCATTGCATCGATGTTTTAGGTAATTCGACTAAAATTAAATCAAATTTAGGTCGAGTAATAAGCAATGAGAAAACAAAAAGTAATGATAAACCTACTACATCCGTTAATCTTCATCGTCGTACAACATTTTCATCTGCACTGAGTGGTTCAGTATCGTCACTTAATTCATTATCATCACGTTCTCGAGCGTCATCAACTCATGATGATCCATTATCAACATCGTCATCTAGTGCATCACTTTCAAGTGGTAGTCCGTCTCAACAGCAAGGAGTCTCCTCGTCAAATCATCGAAATGCAGCAGCAAGTTCAACACCATTTGTTGATCGACGAAAAACTGTTGGTGGCAAAATAAAACCATTTGTACCTGAGTACAATAATGAAAATGAGCGACGGTCCGCAAAAACTTCCAATGGTAAAAATTCAACAATAGTCAAACGATCAGCGCCGCAAGGTACAACAGTACAAAAACGAAAATCATTACAATTAACAATTATTTCGCCAAGTCAAATACAACAAACAGCTAAATTAGGTACAAAAAAGAAGAAGAAAAGAAAAGAAAACTGAATTTTTCTTATATCTAATATTATTCAATTTTAGGTGAAGGTGAATTTGGTGAAGTTTATGAAGGTTTCTATCGTGAAGATCTAAATAATCCTGTTGGGATACCTGTTGCAATTAAGATCTTAAAAGAATATTCTTATTCAGCAAAAAAGGATTTTCTACGTGAAGCTGAACATATGGCAACGTTAAATCATCATTGTATATGTACATTATATGGTATTGTCGATTCAACTGATGACACTATGATGATGGTCATTGAGTTACTTCTACTTGGTTCAATGCTTGATTACTTATGGAAAGAGAAAGACAAAATAGATGAATATCATGTGAAATTATGGGCATCACAAATTGCTGATGGTATGGCATATATGGAACGTAAAGGAATCGTTCATCGGTAAAAAGAAAATCAAATATATGAATTCAAATTGGTATTAAATTTTTTTTTCTAGAGATTTAGCCGCAAGAAATATACTTATGCAATCAAAAGAGCAAGTTAAAATTAGGTATAGTAAACACTGAATAATAATTCTAGTTTCCAATAGATAGTTTGAGTTTCTATTTTTCAGTGATTTTGGTCTTTCAAGACGTATCGATGCTGATGTTTATATGCAAAAATCAGACAGTAAAATTCCAGTTAAATGGTATGCACCCGAAGCAATTAGTATCGGTAAATTTACTTCAAAATCCGACGTTTGGTCTTTTGGTGTTACTCTTTGGGAAATGTTTTCCTATGCTGCAACACCTTATGGTTCGTATGATTTTAGATTAATTTTGAACTTTTTGAAGCAGAAGAAAAATGAACAACTCATCATACTAGACAGGATTCATGTAAGATAAAGACATTCTTTTTAGTAAAAATGTTTCATGATATGTAATAAAAACGTTTTCTTGAATCTTCGAATATGAAATAATCCCTCTCAAATCAAAATAAGTCATACTAAAACCTAACTTCATAACTGATAAGTATCTACTAAGACTGAATTCGACCTAATGAGAGTTCATTGTACTTGGGTTTTACAGATCGAATAAGGATAGATTTATTTTAATACATTCTTTCAATTAATCCGATTCGTGTCTTGTTGATGTTTGACATTTTTGTTCTATTGAAAGCAGGAAAAATATTCACGCAATAGGATTGATTAATTAGCATACGAGACAAAAACAGTGTTGCATGAACAACAAAAAGAAAATGAAAAAGAAGACATCATGAAAATATCTCAAAACGTAGGTAGTGAGAGAATTCGTGGAAGTCGTTCAATTCATGAATGACTCTAATATCATTTGAGTCAGTGTTCTGTTGAATGTTTTCCGTCATTCAGGATATTTCTCTAGCTTTTACTATGAACAAAAGTATGTTAAGTCTTGTCGATTTAGATAAAATAAAACAAATCTTCTGATATTATACTTGGTATGCGTATGCCGATCGAGGCGACAATGAGACAAAAAGTCACTACTCGTACTCCACTTTGGACTGGATAAGAATTTTATGTTTTTGTTTTGTTTTCATCTAATTACATAATCAATACTGTTTCAATACTATAATGTACTCATCTATATAATTTCATATTGATAGTTTTACCTGAAAAAAGAAAACTCGATTAAATTGCTCGTGGTATTCTAACAGAATTTTTTTAAACTTTTTCTATTATAGGTGATATGAGTGGTACTGATGTATATTATTTTCTACAACATGGCAAACGTTTAGAACGTCCAGCACGTTGTCCTTCATCAACATATCAATTAATGATAAAATGCTGGGAATGGGACGAAAAGAAACGACCAACATTCTCTGAACTTTTTCAATCGTTAAAAATAGATCATGATTATCGTGATGCGAATAAAGCAAATCCAGTAAATACAACATTGTTAAGGAGAAAGTCAGCTAGAACTATATTAAATTCCTCAGCATTAACTGAAGAAAATAACCGAGATAAAAAAAATGATAATAATAATAATAGTGAACAGAAAAATGAACAGTATAAAACAAATGGTAATGGCCATGTATCAAAAACAATATCTCAGTTTCAACATACACTTCCTAAAGAACGAACAAATTCTTAAATGAAAAACGTTTATTCTAAGATTCCAATTATGCCAAACCGGTTTTTCACCTGTGAACAATTCTATTATTGGGTTTTTTCTTCTACTGTACATTAATATAAAAACTACTATGATATAACAAGAGAAAAAGATACAATAAATCTGTTGTTTTTTCTGCGAAACGAGTTTGTTTCTTTTCTTTTCGTTTGTGTTCATATTTAATAACAAAATATAATCATAAAAGATATTTTGCTACTTTCTTAAATTATACTATGATTGATAAAAACAAAACAAAAAAAGAACATTCTTATTTACTTTTTTCTAAGATTCATATACTCAAAATATTGAAACACAAAATATTGTTTTATGCAACGTCTGTAGTTTCAACATCTCTGTCAAGATTCAGATATTGTCTATGTGTGTCTTCTGCAATTGGCCGACCTGCTACTTGCATTGGAATTGTGGTTAAAAGAGCCGAATTCACATTTATATCATCGGTATCACTATTTAGTGATTCGGAGTAAAGTTTATTATGATAAGTTATTCCACTATGAACTAATATGCAACCCATAACAAGTAAAAATAGAGCTATTATAACAGATATTAAATCATCGAATTGTGTATGTCGACTTAATAGAGGTATACGATCCCATAGTATTAATGGTACAGCCATAATAATGCCAATAGTTGAATTTAATGCATCAGCCATCAAAGATTTTGAATTAAGTTTTTTCGAAAGAATTATTTTAACAATAGATAAAACAGTAAAAATCGATATATGAATTACTGAATATAAAAGTAGAAGCCAATCACCTGTTGGTGCTTGTGGAACAATCATTGATTGTATAGCACGAGATTCAATAGCTAAAAATGAACCGATAAAAAGTGCACCTATTACACAACATACAAGATAATCTCGTCGTTTAAAATCGTCCAATGTTTGAGCTAGAATTATAAATTATAGTTATTTTTTGAAGATATTTTATTATCAATCTATACCTTTTAAATGCCAAGCAACAAAACAAATGCAAATCGAATCCATTAGTGTATCAATTGAATAACTTAAACCAACGGATGATTTATCAAGCATACAATTAATAAATGCTGTTAATCCAAGTATAATATCGAGAATAATTGAAAATACACAAATACGGTAAGCAATACTTTGATAACGTTTAAATAATTTATCTCGGCTAGAATCATCTTCGATAACACTTGCTTGACCATTATTATTTGAATTTTTATCTAATAATACCATATTTTATTTTATCTTTTTTTAAATATTTACAATCCTTTCGTTGTAAATAGTGTAGCCCCTATCGGCACAACACCAGCATATATATTTATTTATATGTAATAAAGTATGATCATTCGTGCGTATCCAAGCTTACGGCTTGATGCACACAACCGGTACGAAAAAAGTATCATACCGTGACAAGACACAGTCATGTATGAGAAAAAGAAAAACGACATATTCCAGTGTATACGGTGTCTTTCTAATTCATGTTTTTTTTTCTCACGTAGATGATGATTGACATCATTGAAACATTTAGTTTATAATGTACTCTTCATTATATTTATTACAAAAAGAGTTTAAAAAAAGCATGTATCTGCGAGCACTTTTGCAAATATTCAACTTTTTAAGATGTTCTTTTTCCTCTATATTCGATAGAATAATAACACACGACAACTACGAGTTTTTTCTGCATCGTACAGATATTTATCTATTGGCATATATATATATGTGTGTATATAATGCAAATATTAGTGGAAAATTTGAGAAAAGAAAGCATTACTGATGTTTATCGAGAGTAAAAACCAAATGGTTACTTGAATGTATAAGAAACGAGGAAAAGAAAAGGAAATTCTAGTTATGTTCTATGAGTGAAAGTAATTATTTGTTTTATCAAAAGAAAATTCTGCTTCTATACTAATAGAGAGATTACATAGAATCTTAGAAATCATGAAAAATTAATGGCTTAGTTCCTTGAATTATTCCTGTCAAGAAATTTGGAAAATCGAGAAATAAACATTCTTTTTCTAGGTTCAACAAAAAGTTCTGTTTTCTTCGTACTATTCTAATTCACTGTACAATATTGTGATGAGTAAGAATCTAATCTTATTTATTTAAAAATAGAGTAGGATTTTCATTTACTAATTCCATATGATTGGTAATATGATATTTCAGTCTACAGCATACATGAGTGTTAACAGAGAGCATCACAATAAAAATGAATATTAATATTCTAAAGGAAAAAAACAAAAGCGTGATTAAAATTTACCTAGAAATAATACAAAGCTGTTAGTCGTTTAAACTAATGGGTTCTCGTTTAAATGTATATATATATATATATATATGGAGTTTGTTGATTAAATGTTCTTGTTGTTCGTTCATTTCTTTATAAAAAAAAACACATTGAATTAATTATACGATTCCAGTTTCTAGCTTTCGGAAAATATTAAATTAGTATGCTGTTCATTTTAAACACTTTTGATAGATTCGTAAGATGAGCCGTTAGTAATTTATTTATATGGTTATACAAACTGTCACTTAACCATACTGAACACTATATACATATGTATGTATATAGGTCATCGTTTACATGAACCAAAATTACATATGGAAAGCTCATTCGTCGATGCATACACGATACTACAACAAGAATATGAATTCCCATATGTGAAGAAGTTTGACGAGATGCAGTAGTAGTACTAGTTAGTTTAATGCTAATGATGCTAATCTCGACTTGCAGCTGTTATCATACTGAATGCATAAAATATTTGTAGATCTTAAGAGAATGAATGGATAAGTTGACGATATATATGAGATACAACTGATCGTACGATGAATAGAGTTTTCTGTTGTCTTGCTATTAACTTCACACATAGATAATTCAAACAACTATAGTTATTTGTGAATAAAATAGTTTATCAATCAATATCAATTTAGCATGATTCGTATTGTGCATTATTTTCTTTCTGTTAATACTTATAGCTTTCAACTGTCATGAACACTTATAAGTACACATCCGATTATTCGTTTATCTATCTTTTTCTCTACCGGATGTCGAAACTCTCCCGGAAGCAACATACATAGTAGACCACACTCTCATATATTTTGCGCCTAATTTGATTTACATCATCAAACTAAACATAATAACAAAGTATGATAGGAAAAGAAAAAATACATATAGTAAAAGTTATTATAAGCTAGTTCGAAATTCTTGTCCCCTCTTATTTCTAATAATCATGTACATAGTTACAGGGCATAGATCTATTTGTTGTGCATTTATGGCCAATAAAACAAATTGTATTATGGATATACTAGTGAAGAAAAGAGAGCGACATGTGTTGATGCATATATTGGGAGTGCTTGCACGCATTCAAGAATAATCGTCGATAAGCGACGGCAACAGCAAGAGCAATAGTAGTAGTAGTAGCGGCTGCAACGCACGACACTGATAAGTATTGCCAATTGTAATTGTCATTCTTTTTCCTGGGCGCTGTCGCATTCGGTCGTTCGTCGTTTCTTGCCTTTCTTACACATTCTTTCTTCAGTTTTTTTTTTCTGCTGCTACTTCATTATCTCGAGAGACATACGAAGAATGGAATGAACTAGCATCAGAATAACTGTTGAGTTCATTTATTCATTGAAAACTACATACAATCTGCGGTAACTAACTATTCTTTCGAACATGAACATAGCGTGATTTATTTTGAAATAGATAGATCAACAGAGAGCAAAGAATTTTTTTTGTTGTTGTTGTTTTCTCCCTTTTGGTCTTGAGAGACTTGACTCAAGCTCTGCTTCCGGTGCTGTATTATAGGAGAAATGAAAGAGATGAATAGAAAAGAAAAAAAGAGAGTGCTAGATGGATAGTTCTTTAAATGTAAGAAAAAAGAAGCTTCTAACGGCATTCCAGATTTTTTCCCGTTTCGATATGCAATAAAAGAGTAAAAAAAAAGTTAACTAAATAAACTCCGCCAATTTTTGATTATTAGTCAAGAATGTTTTCTCTCTCTCTCTCTCTCTCTTCGTTTTAGTACTTTTAGTATAGCCTAATTATACCAAGTATGCCTTTCTCTCTTGCTCTCTTCTATGTTTCTTTCTACCATCACTTGTCGACAACATTCTTTTCTTTCTTTTTTTTCTCTTTTTTTTCTCTTCAATCATCTAGATGATAGTGATGTTGCCCGAGTCAATCACGTCAATGATGTTGCCTATTGACGTAATGCTTGGTTTTCTAGCTATCTATTTATCGTTCTATATTTTTTTAAGATGTGATGTGCCTAAGGCTTTTATTATTTTCATATGATTGCCACGAACACGTGACGACACATTAATGTAGCTATAAATACTAACATTTTATTCACCGTGGGTAAGCATATTAGGCTGGAAGGAATATAAAATGCATGTTGCGATTCAGAATAATAACATTTGCTTGATTTCCATAGATTGAAATTAAAATGCATGATCGTCATCAATCATATCCGATTGAAGTCCTTTTTGAAGATCATGTAACATTGAGCGATGGTCGCTCTAAACCTCATCTTGTTTTACTTCAATTAACATCCGAGACACTTATCATTCGACGCCTTAAAATAACTCAAGTATCATCAATTAACGATAAACAAGTCCAAACAATAATACCGCGTAATGTCACCCTTAAAAGACATCCAACAACTCATTCATTTGGCTTTTCAATTAAGGGTGGCAGTGATACGGGTAAATAAATAAATAAATAAATAAAATAAAAAAAAGAATTAATGATTCTATTTTTAATAGTTTTCTTTTAATTAACAGGTTTTCCAGTTCTTATCTCTCGTGTCGTTTATACCAATGCACATTTATTACATGTTGGTGATGCTATTTTATCTATTAATAATGAAAATATTTCTACTTTAACTCATGATGAAGTCATTCAAAAACTAAGAGATACATCCGGTGATCAAGTTAATTTAATTGTTAAATATATGAATGATATGGCCCCATATTTATCTTCAGCTTCTGCAACGGCAAGATCATCATTTTCATCATTGATGCCAATGACACAAACTAGTTATACGTTACCGACGTCGCATTCTGTTCGACTACGGCGGCAACAGAATCGTATGTCAGCAGAATATCCTTCTAGATATCATCGACCAGGAAAACAACAACAACGTTTATCATTAATGCTTTCTGATGAGCGAAAAGTAAGAAAGAGAAACTATTGAGCATTTCTTTCCTTTTGCTAGTCGTCTAATAAGCATTGCATAGAATGTATTAAGAATTTCATTGAATGACAAGAATGCATTGAGATAATCATATATTTTTATTTCTACGGCTACATTGTTACCCCGAGATTAAATAATAATAATAATATATAAAATATCATTGTAATTTACGCATAAATTACTTACACAATATATGTGAAGGATAAAAGAATCATTGTAGCAAATCAAAAAAAACAATAAATATATATATATATATATATATTGAAAAAATAAATAAAATTACTTATAATTATTTATTGTAGGACACTGATGAATATGAATTACTTAGTCGATTATTATTATGTGAAAATGAGAATGAACGATGTCGACATCAATTAGAAACATTTGCAAAAGAACAGAAACAACAAACAGACTCAATTGCCACATTAGTCGATGAAGACGATGAAGATAGTTCAACAGTTGATTATGTTTCTGTGCATGAATATTCTCTACTTTATGCATATGTTACTCAATATATAACTGGTACAGATAAATTACGTACTAATTCTTTTCAGCTGCATACTCTAGACGGTTCCCAATCGGGAATAATCATCAGTGATACATCCGCTCAACAACATTTGTGGATATCACGTATAAACACGATTATACATAATCTAACAGCACGTACAATTACTGAACTTAATCAATCATTATTATCTAGTGAACAAGTACTTTATGCAACTTGGATGCATGAACGTGTAACAAATATTAATCAAAATCGTTTACCAGAATGGAAACCTATATTTATTGTAATGAAAGGTAGCGATCTTTATATATTTGATGATAATAAACCGCCGCCTATATGTTCATATGATTTCATATGTTGTTCACGTATCTATCCCATTGTTGAAATACTTATTGAAGTCACATCATCAAAATATTTACAAGATGATCGACAATATTGTCTTACATTAACAGTATCAAATGATTTAATAGCAAACTGTCGTTATTTTAATTTTGAAACAAAAAATGGACTAGATGAATTCCTATCAAATTGGCAACGTTCATTATATATGTCAGTTTATGCAGTTAAAAATCGTGCATTTGGTTGCATATATCAAGGACAAATATGTCGTTTAGTTATTGATATAAATAACGGTTTTGAAATGTATAATAATGAAACAAATGTTATGCTATGGTCATTTACATTTGAACAATTACAATCAAGTTCCGATAATGGACGAGATAAAATTTATTTTGAATTTAAACGTAGTCCCCTGCCAAATGAGAGTGAATCAACAATAAAGATTGAAGTGCAATGTCAACATTTGAGAATTCTTATTCATGTGATTAATGCATTTTTGACTATCAAATTAATTGGTAAACGAGATAATACCATTGATTAAGAAAATCCTTCCAGTGGTGGCGATGATATGTGTCTTTTCTTTTTGCTACTGTAAGCATATTCTATTTTTTACAAATAATTACTTCTAATAAAAATCTATACAGTTTGTGGTGTTACTCATTGCAAAAGAAATGTTTCATTATGTCTTAATTTCAACAAAAATTAGATTAAATATTAATAAAAAAAATGATGCTTAAATCAGTATAATACTATAAACTCGCGATATATACTTCGACTTAGTCTCGTTGAAACAAGAGATGTGTCATTTCAAGTGCACCATCTGTTTAATCGTTTTTTCTTCTTCTGTTAGCTATACTAGACATTGCAGCATACTTGAATTTTATTGAATTATTCTGTGCTAAGACTCACAATCCATTAAATACTCTACATAAAAGACACTGTTTTCTTGTTCAACTGTTTTTAATAATATTCAGTAGAATATAAACGAGTCCCTACTGACATATCCGATTTCCTCATTGACATTTTAATAATAATGATGTGACTTTTATTTTGTAAAGAATAACAATGAGATAACGAAAGCAAAAGTTTGATTCATACATCAATACAACATGGGCAATCACATTAGATAAGCAGTTCCCTAGGAACTAAAGCTTTCGTAGATAAATTTCTACGGCCCAACGAATTACGTAAGCCCACGGCGATCTATATTAACAAAAAGATAATAATAAAATTTTACCGTATATGATGAATAAATAATTCTTACTGCATCAAATATAAATGTAATAATAGTTGCCAGTATATAATTTGAAAAAACAAAATCAACACATAGAAAAGTAATCATATTCCGAATAATAAGGGACTTTTCTTGTCCGTAAAATAATATTTTTGTGAAAACATTTTCATCATCTTCCGTAAGAAAAAAGCAGTAGAAATATAAAAGACAAGATTAGAATTTATATTTTACGAATAAAATTTATTTACCGACAAAAAAGAAATTATCTATAGTATCTGTTAAATCAGGTCCTAAAGCTACTGGAAATTCAAAATTGAAAACCTTTTCAAGAAAATATCGATTTCGGATAACATATTGATGTGTTGGCAATGCATGACCGATAAATGCACATAAAAATTTATTTAGATTTTGATACGATTGAAGTAAAATATCTGCAAAATGTTCTTTATCGCCTCTTGCACGTCGTTGTCTAACATAATCCTAAATAAGAGAAAAAAAGAAATTCTGTTAATGTCATTTCACTTCGTTAGATTTTGAAAATCTATAAAACCAATAATAATTTCTTCGATGAATATTGAATTCATTTAGATTTTCTTACGCCGTATTTTTGAAATAGTAAATCATATTGTGAACGAAATGTTCTATTTATCTTCATAATAAATAATTGTTCTGGTGAATTAGCTTCTAAGCCTCTTCCAATACTCATCAATCTTGATTCACGTTCTAAATTCATAATCATATCTTTAATATTAACATCAGCGATACCATGTGCAGAACGACCATGAATATAATATCCATGACGATTTTGATCAAGTATGAAAATACTTATATTTGAGACTGAACATAAATCAACGAAATTAATTATTTTATCTTCAACTAAACGTTGATATATGAGTACGTAGAAGAAATATTGAATTAAAACTAGTATGAAAAATATAATTCATTAGAATATAGTAAGATCGATGTACATACCAGTACCAGATAATACAAGAAAACCAGTACCACTACGAAAAATGCTCTCGTATTCCATAGTATAATTAGGACTAATGGGTAATGATGCATTAGCGAATCTGCTATCAATTGAAGCTATATTTTCTAGATTAATTACCTGTGCAACGAAGTAGACGTGAAAGAATATTTACAAAAAAATTAATAAAATACTTTGAGAAAGAATAAAGTAAATAGGAGATGAAATGCTACATGAATACGACGAAATGTTTGAATGCCATTGAACTCATTTGCTACAAAACATGTTCGCCAAGCGGATACAGTATTCGCAGTGCCTAAAACAAAATAATAATGATGAATAAAAGATTAGAGATTCATTCACACAATATTCAATGTTAAAAGGATCTCATAATAAATATAACTTTTGCAAAACAAGTTCTAAGGATTTTTCTTGAATGCAATTTTCTAAATTTTAGTTTACTACAATATCTAGTATTTCAAAAAATAGTTACTAACCTGATTTAGATTTTTCCCAATCTATGAAGAAAATATCGATTGTTGATTGTCGTATAATAATATGAAGAATATCGCCTGTTTTAAGTATGAATGAGACAATGAGCAGCATTTTAAATGTGCTCTGTGGTGTACTAGTATTTGATTCAAAGATTCCATTGTATTGTATCTAAAAAAATGCAAATTACTTAAATATATATATACATATATATAAGATGAAGTTATCTTCTTAATATCAGAAACATGTGTATTTTCTTGAAACTTGCTGCTAGTGTGGATTTATGCATGAAAGGATAGCCAGAGGCTTAATCTTTCATAAATGACATTGGAATAAATTTGATATCTCATTTCTGGCATAAGTTTTGATGATTAGTGTACTTGGAAAATGTGCTATTTCGAGATACAGCCATGAAATTCTTCTAATTTTTTTCCTGTTTATGCGCTTTTTGTATCGTATATCTGAAAAGTCTCAAAGAAGTTTCATCAAGGCAAATGATTTTTTTCTCTTAGAAAGAACACGTTTAGATGCATGCATGATGAAGTCTTTTGTTGTTACATTTAGCATAATTATCTTTATATAATGCATGGTTTCATTATTAGAGGTTCCTATTTCATCATACTAAAGTCTTTTTTCCGTGAAAATTAAGAGTAAAAAAAAAGAGAACTATGATGAGCCGTATTGCTTTAGCAGAAGAAAACTAAGCATATAGAATGAAGGTCTCAAGACGCTTTCAGATTGCCAGATGCTTCATTATTCATCGCTTTTATTACATGTATTTGAGTTCTTCTTTTACTGAATTAAATATTTTGTTTTAGTGTGTTCATGATAGTCGCACTACATGTTAAACATTTCATAGAATTCAAATCCACTTAGTCTTTGATCAAACGGATGACGAGAGAAAGTATGAATCGTGAAATATCATAAAATTAGTTATTACCTTAAAAAGTATTAGCCACCAAACTGAAACACCAGCAATGACAAGAAAAATGACAGTAGAAACAGTACCAAGAATATGAAGTAAAAGTTTCCCAAGAGTCTAATGAGAAGAAGAAGAAAAAAGAATGATTAATGTGCAACAATACCATAAAGAAAATCAATGACGCTTACTGGTAAATCGATAATTTCTTTTCCAGCTCTTGAAAACCATGCACATGTTTGTATCAACGCAACAATTACGGCTAAACCTGATACAACTCCTAATACAATCAAAATAGCAGGAGTATAAATTTCAAGATTCATTTTTTCCAAGAACAATCTATTAATATCTATTGAATATGACAAAAATGTTTTTTTAACAATTCATAAACATTGTCAATTTTGATTGAGGGAGCAAAGTAAAACATGTTAATGACATGAGAAAAAGACTTGTGTGCATACGCTAGATTAGAAATACTAAATGCACATCATTGATAAGAACACTTCTCAAGCAGACAAACTTTTGGAAAAACGCGTTTACACACTCAATGGGGAACCGCGATTGTGAGTCATTAATGCTCAGTAACGAAACGCAAGAAACGCGTTTTTTACGCAGAATTCTCACTTTCAGAGCGTGAAAATTCCAACTCTGAGCGTTTAAACGAATTAGTTTTTAAGTTATTGAATAACTGTGCATTTAAACGCTCAGATTTTGGAGTTTTTACCCGTTTTCACGCTCTGAAAGTGAGAATTCCGCGTAAGAAAAGCGTTTCTTGCGTTCCGTTACGGAGCGTTAATGACTCACAATCGCGGTTCCCGATTGAGTGTGTAAACGCGTTTTCCTAAAAGTTTGTCTGCTTGGGTTGTCGACTAGCATTTTTTCACGTCTCGCATTTATTCTTGCTCTTGATTGACTTTATTGATAGTCGTGATAGCAACTAAAGACTTGATCATATGCAAGAATTATTCTTGACAAAAGGGTCGGCCTACTACTTAGAAGCATCAACTTCTCTATTTGAATGATTTGCATTGTTTAAACGCTTTCAGCAATTTATATCATGATTAATATCGGTAAATTTAATGATGGATAAAATTTCTCGAATGAAAAATAATCGTAGCTGTATGACTATATGTAGAAATATGATGCATTTGATGTGACTCAATATTTATGAACGTGACAAAATGAACGATCAAAAAAGGAAGCATACATCACGTTATGCTACTAAACATGATCGATCAATAGAAGTTAGTCAATTTTTTGCTAGTTCAGCAATTAAAATGGTATGCTCATATGGCATTTATAGAGAAAGAAAATGTTCATTGAAATTGCAACAAGAACAAGTATTGATGTTTTATAATTGATTATGGAAATAGGCATGGATTATATCATAAGCAGTGTTTCAATGAAAAATGAGGAACTAATACACAATCAATGGAAATAAATGACTTGCAAACGGTAAGCAACTTTATCGGTGTGTATATTTGTTCAAATATTAACTTTTAAGTAGTATTTTTTTTTCTTTTGAAAAATTATTTCACATTCTGTGATTAGGCCTTAACTAAAACTATGAATAGATTCTACGCATAAGAGCCATTAGAAATTTTATTCCGTCTGTGTTTATGTTAATAAAAAAGACAAGTAACTTAGATACAAATCCGTATAATTGAATCTTACACTATATTGATGGTTTCAATTATGTAGATAATAAGATTTTCCATACCAAAATCGAAGATACATCTTCAAGATAAAAGCTCGTGTAACAGCTATTATCGATAATCCATTGTCAGTTGTTTAGCCAAAATTTACATTGATGTCACCAATGTGTCAACATTAATTGTGGTTCATACAATGAAAGGATGATACGATAAGAATTAATTACGACAATGATAAGGCAATATACAGATGCATTAATTGAAGTTTTGTATTGTTGTCAATATGAATCTTTTACATTTGATAATGAAAACAAGTGATCGATCGCAATTACAAAACATAGAATTTAAAATAAAATATTTTACATATTTTAATTGCAATTCAAGGAAACCGTATCAAATATAAAGTGCTAAGGAGTAATTTTTTCTAAAAATGAATATTTAACTATCTAATCAAGGTTAGCGTTATAATAATCTCATATCGAACGCTTTCTTTTTCCTGAACAACATTAACTAGACTTTTTGAACTCTTTAGTTTCTATTAAATCGGCAAAATATGGATATTTATTTTTCGAAATCAATAATCTTTGATAAACGAGCCAAGTATACTTTTAAATGATTAGATCGAACCTTTCAAATAATTGAAAACTTAAATGATAAGTCTTTAGGCATCTCGTGGAAGAATAGATAAATGATCAAGCACAATAGAATCATGAAAACCGATTCTATTTTCTGTTGAATTGCTAGCATATTTTCCAATAAGCATTCCAGCAGCGTTGTCTAAAGCTAGTCCTGTAGATTTATCATCTGAACGACAATTTGTATAAGCGGCAACAATAAGATCTCGGCCGGGAGCCATCCAAAAAACTGTATCTTGTCCAAATATATCTCCGCTATGAACTAAAGCTTGACCTGGTGTTGCCCAACTACGATTATATGCCGCCACTCCCAGACCATAACCTTCTACGCCAATAAATGGACGTTTGAGTTTAGCTGCTGTTTCAGCAGTTAAATAACCAGTACTTTGAGCAATTACATGAGCATGTAAGAATTTAGCCCAATCCTGAAGTGTACATGCAATATAACCAGCAGGACCTGTTGCAGCTTGATCATTATAAAGTAGAATAGCACTAGGAACCGGCCGTGGAATAGCTACCGTGTGATTGAATGGTAAATCATGACCGACTGGTGTTATTGGCGGTATCGTTTGATTATACACTAAACCAATTTTAGCACTGGTCATATCCAAAGGATTAAAAACATATTCTTGTATTAAGGATTCCCAATCTCGACCAGTAATTTGTTCCATCATTGCAGCAGCAACAGCATAACCTTGATTAGCATAAAGAAATTCGCCAGGTTGAACTTCGGGTGCATCTTTCAAAACAGTTTCAGCGACCCAGTAACGAATTTGCCGAAAATTCCCTTTTTGTAGTAATAATTCAGTCAAGTGGCGACTATAGAAAGTAGTACTTTGTTGAACACCAGAACGATGTGCTAAAAATTGTTCCAATGTAGCATTTCGAAAAGCACTATTAAAACTATTATAATTCAGAAAACATTCGTGTACTTGCGTGGTCCATGATAGAATTTTTTGATCTACTAAACGGCCAGCAACTGTAGCTGTCATCCATTTAGAACAAGAACCAAGATTAATAGGATCAGTAACGAGCAGTGGCGATAGGTCACCTTGTCGACGATATCCAGATGCACCTTGTGCAACAATTTCTCCTTGTTTTAAAGCAACGGCAGATAAACCAGGCATATTGTAATACGCACGAATAAGAGTCAACTGACCGCTGACATCATCAATATCAGCAACAACTGCATAATTTTTAATTTGATGAAGAGCAAAAATAAGAATTAGAGAAAGAATCATCTAGAAATCAGTAGAAACTACACACATACTAAAAATAAATAAATGAGAAAAAGCGAAACAATACTATCATAACTTGACAGAGCCCTTAATCTCTAAAAACAAATGAGAAAAAAAGATTACTTCAAACGACTCGAATGCATCGCAATACTTCTATTTTTCACATATGCACGATGATAGGTTTCAAGTAGTTGTTTTTTAATTTTAAAATAAAAAATTTAAATTAAATTAAATTCTACATCAGCATGGCATTTGATTATTAGTAATAATAATAGAACGTAATTGTGTTTTGATACAATCATAATCAGATTGTTCACCCGATTTCGTTTTTAAGCCTTGCTATAGTAAAGAAGCTCTTCAGAAATCTCGTGAAATATAGCTTATCGATAGTCTCTATTGATACGACAGAAACATCTTGATGTGCTTAATTTTTTCGAATAGTTTCCCAATTGAATAGGAATTCATAGAGAAATCTAAAAATCATATTATTTTCCAATAAGCTTCAAATGTTTATTTATTATTTCATATTAAATTTCACATTGTAAGTCTGACTAATTTAGAAAATGCTCATCGTCTTCAGTGGGCAGAATATATAAATACGATGGTATATTACCACCAATACGGTCAATCATTTCACTCGCATACCACACAATAAGATGCAACCGCGAATGAGATGTCAATCAATACAAACAAATTTATCCCTTATTTGTTTATGCTGCATATAATCATCGACAATTGTTTATCAATATATAAGATTTATAGTATACCAATTTGTCGCTTACTAAATAGATGTAGCTCGACAGATTCTATAAACTTATTTTTAAATGTCACAGAGACATTTTCTAATGGTAGCCTATCGACTCGCCACTAGAATTACCACAGGTACCATTTCTTTCACTTTGAATAGTTTTCTCATCGTTTTCAATAATATTCTATTCGTTATTTGTGTTTGATACGAAATCATCAAGTACACGTATTTTAATTCCTATGATAGATCATCACTATTTACTTTTATTTTTAATTCATTGATTATAGTTGTTAATCATTTTGATCTTAAGTACATGAAGGATGATTTAGCAAACGAACAAAGATTAATATAGATTTTTATTGCTAGATTTGATTTTGAATTGAGAGGAAATACAACGAGCAATATTTTTTTATTGTTTTTAGACCACTCAAAACGACAAAAGAAAAGTCTTGTTATAAAAAAAAACAAGCATTTAAATGTATCTAATAAGAAATGCACAGCTACAAAAGTCACTTTAGATAAGAAAGCTCTTTGGAATTAATGTTTTAGTTGATAAATTTCTTCGTCCAAATGACATACATATTTTGATCGCAATCTACGAGCAAAAATAAATTTCAAACAACGACATTTTAGTTTTTATAGATTGAAAAACGTTTTTCTTACAAAATTGAGTATATATGTAACAATTCCAGCTAATACATAATTAAATGCGAAATAATCAATGAAAATAAATGTTGCCATATTCCATATAAATAATGAATTTTCGTGACCAGCAAAGATTGCTCTTATAAGATTTCTATCGTTATCTTATGATTAAACAAATAATCATTCATTCTGTATATCTCAATTTTGTTTTACTTACCAACAAAAAATAAACTTTGTTCACTTTCTAATGTTTGATACGGATTGCGATTTAAAAACTCATAGTTAAGAACTTTCTCTTGGAAAGTACGCTCACGAATAGTATATTCGTGGCCTGGCAATGAATGATTAATAAATGCACATAAAATTCCATTCAAATTTTGATAAGCTGCCATTAGACTTTCCGCTTGTTTTTCACCCATTACATTTTCATTCTGTCTACTCCTTTGAATCTAAATAACATAACAAAACGAGAAAATCATTTCGTAAATGATCAAAACATTTTCGGGTTCTACGTACATGATATCTATTGCATGCTTCATTATACACTTTACGAAAATTTCTACTAATTTGCACAATAAATGTTTGCTCTTCGGATTTTGTTTGTAAACCTCTTTTACCGCTCAATTGATTTGATTCACGTTCTAAATTCATAATCATATCTTTTATATTAACGTCAGTTGTTCCATGTGGTGATAAACCATGAATATAATATCCATATAGATTATCCGTAAATATAAATACACTTATATTTGATACAGAACATAAATCGATAAAATTAATTATTTTATCTTCAACAAAACGTTGATAGAAAATAATATAAACTAAATATTGAACAAGAGCTAAACGAAACAACAAGTAAATCTTTTTTTTTCTGTCGAATAAAATTCTATAGAATATGAATTTTTTTCTTTACCTGTAGCAAGCCACATGGAAAAAGCAATACCAACGCGAAGAATACTACTATATCCTGGTTGATAGTCATTATCTGATGGAAAAAGAGTTACACCTGGTTCCATAGTAGCTATATTTTCTAAGTTAATAACCTAGAATGATAAATTCGTTTTTAAAGATCTGTATGTTTTAATCGTACAGAATAAAAACTGTTACTTTAAGCAAAAATAAAACAAAGAATATTTGAAATGTAACATTGATACGACGAAATGCTTGAATTTCGTGATATTCATTAGCAACAAAATATGTTCGCCATATAGAAACATTGTCTTTAATTCCTAAGATAATTAAAATTATTAAAACCAAAAATCAAAAAAATAATCGCCTCTGTTTATACCTGCTTGAGGTTTTTCCCAATCCATAAAAAATATATCTACCATTGTTTGACGAAAAATCAAATGGAGAATATCAATGGTTTTAAGTGAAAATGCAAGAACCACAAGTGCTGTGAATGATGCTTGTTGTGCATCAGTGGGTATAACAAGAGAAACCCTATCTTGTCTCTATTTAACAAAGATAGAAAAAATAGTCAAGTTTTAAATTTAGTGTGCAGATATTTTACTTTGTAAAAAATTAACCACCATACTGAAACACCCGCCAACACAATAAAAAATACTGTTGCCAGAATATTAGATATATAAGCTGAAAATTCACCAATGACCTATATAAAGAAAAGAAAATGACATTTCAAGATAAACAAAAACAAAATTTATTTTTACGGCTAGATCAATGTTATCATCTCCTTTTCGTGAATACCAAATTGTTGTTCGAAAAAATGCAAGAACAAGTCCAAAAAAAGCTATTACACCAAAAGCAATCCATATATTCGTAACTTGTTGAGTGAGGTCCATCCGATAGGTAGATGCAAATGAAACCTAATGATACATAAACTTATTATTATTATTGATTATCAAGTAAGATATTGAATTCATCTAACGAGCTGTACGCGCGCACACTCGTTCATCTCATTAAAAACTATGTACAGAGCAAATCAAATAAAACAAGCGAGAACATACAATACACTCTTGATAATTAATACTTTCATGATAACTAAATGCATATATTACACTTCAAAAAGTGTATTAATTAGTGCTATTAATTCTCGTACCTGAACTATAGTTCCTTTGCCTATGTCCGATAAAGATAATTGACTATATCCAACGATAATGACTGGTGGTTGAATATATGCTTCTCCGCTTGTTAACGTAGTCAAAATTTTGATTGTTGTGGCATAATTTATATTTACTAATCCTAGAAGAAATTATTTTCTTTACGCAAGCCATCAAAAAACATAATATGCATACGTACCATTCGTGCCACTAGTGGTTGTTGTGATACCCGAAATACGATCGAGTAGAAAAAACCGACGATTGTAAGACCACGTTGATTCATCAGCTAGAAAGAATAATCATATATCTTTAATAAAATTATCTTGAGTGGATACGTACAATTTTGATTCGGCTTACTACCAGTTGTTGAATGATAATTCAATATAACTACGGGGCATGGTATCATATAATCAGTACCATTGCGAGTGAGAACAACATCTAAAATAACATTTTTAAATTCCAGAGTACAAAAAATCAAGACCAATCGAATAAAATAATTTACATGGATCGAAGAAAGCAGTTTCATATAGTGTTGAATTCCATAATGCATCAGCACGAATATTACACTAAGAAGACGAAGAAGAAGTTTTTTTTTATAATTGTGTTCTTAGAAATTAATTATTTTATTAAATAAAATATTGATTAAAAATCAAACTAGTAATTTTCAAATTCTATCCAATATGTATGACTATCATCCTAAGAATTGATATCCATATAGAATCAGTTGAATACAATGCAAAATATTTCTTAATATGATTTTATATGTTTTTCTTAGTAAGACATGGGTTAACTCATTCTCGTGATACGAAAGAATCTTTTGTAATACATATCTATCATAGTTTGTTTTTTCAACTTGTCTTCTTAATATATTAATCAACGTCAATAAATAGTCAGTACATAATTTGAACCGGCTGAAAATTCGATTAAAACAAATTCTGATGCGATAGAACCGATTAAATTCCTAAGAATATAATTTAAACGTACTGCTTTATTAAATTGTGCCCCAAATGTAAAAGCAGCTTGACCATCAGTATAACCACCACCACATAGTTGCATATAAGTATCAAAAGCATCAAATAAACCTAAAAATTTCCCCGTTGGAGAATATTTAGCTAGTTTAATTCGAAGAAGATCATTCTGATTATATGTTGCAGGTATCCAATTGTATGTTGAACTACTAATATCTTGAGTATATGTTGATGGGTAAGCAAGAAATGGTATGGATGTTCTAAATGGAAGGTAATGAAATAATTAACTATAAGTCTTTGCACCTCTTTTTTGTTTGATTTACCGATTACTTGAAATTGTCCAAACTGATGATCCTGGTGGATTCCATATATAAGTATCATAAAAATAGTATGCATAACCATTTAAACCATTATAAAATTGCATGGCAGCTATGTTTGCTAACAGTTGGCATGCTGTTGCATTTGATAAAAGTTGACGTGTAGTTGCTTGTGCAGTAGTCGAATTTAAATTCATCTAGATAATAAAAAACAAGAAAACTTTAGGTGAAGAAATAAATAGTCAAACTTACTCGACAAAGAAAAAACGATGCCCTCAGATGTTGCTGAATAAATACTGATGTCGTAGGAGACTAAATTTTGACAATATACTTTCTTTTGAATTATGTTCAGCAAAAGCGTTTACCGTGAATATATTTTGATACAAGAAACCACTGACTGAACCATCATCAATATATTTCAAACATACGCCATCCTTTAATGGAAAGAAAAAGAACAAAGTTTTAAAGGAAAACTACTGAATAAAAAGCTGACTTGAACTGTAGTAGTATTGCAACATGTAATGTTTGCATTTTGTACTTGTCCAAGCCGAGGTGTGACACTAGCACATGGAGTACATCTTATAAGATGAAAAATACGCAAATAAATATTTTTTTGATAAGAATTAGAACGAACCGTTGACCAGGTTGATCAGTCCATGTGCCGCTTTGGCACGATACACAAGTAGCATTACCAATTCTTGGTTGGCTTGCCGGAGAAGGACTCACTGGTGTATATAAATCGCCTTCAAGCTGCGCTTCCGCTATAGTAATGAAACATATTAATTGTTGTTAGTTTAATCTGGTTGAGAAAAAGACAGATTCGTTTTTACATTTAACTTGTGTTGAACTTGTTAAGTCGCATGAAACATTTGTGGTTATACATCCAAATCCATCAATTGACCGTACCTAAAAAGCGAAAATAATTTGTTTATTGTAAAGAAAAATCCTACAAACGTACATAATTGGAACCGCATGGTATACAAAGTAATGAACCACCACCTTGATTTACACCATAATAATAATTATCATTGATACATTCACATTTTGTTGAATCTAAATAGAAATAATAAATTTTTCTAGACAATTTTTCTTCAAAACGCATAAAATATAATCATTAGACGTATAAATTCTATTGTTTAGAATAGCACTTGTTTTAAATTCACAACTTTTATTAACGTATGTACATATTTTTCAATTATACTAATGTGAAATATCTAACAATTTTATCGATTCAATCACATCTTGAAGAGTAGACTAGAAAAACTTTTAATTTCAAGTTCGAGATTAGTTGTAAATTTATATAGACGAAAACAATTTACTAGTAAAAATTAACTTCATTGTACAGACTTTTTAAAATTCATCATAGTTAGAAATCTTCGTGATTTATCTAGATTGTGTCCAAGAGCAAACATTTGTTTTAAAAGTCATCTTTGAAATACGACTGTCAATACATTTGAAATAAGATTATTGCTGAGAAGATATTCTGATTAGGTCTAATCAGCATTTTAATTATATGCTTGCCAATAGATATTAATAGGAAAACAAAACTCTTTTTAACTATGCATTTTAAACTGATAATTACCACCAGATTTCTGTTGTGCATTGGCTGGACAAGGTGAGCATTGTAATAAGGCAACATCAAAATATTGATTTGATGTGCATGATGTTTGATACAGAAAACTTGTTCTATAAGCTGTATAACTTGATGTTTGAGCAGAAACAATCGATAATGAGATTAACAGAAGTAAGAAGAACAACAACAACGAAGATTCGAGTAAACTCATTTTTTCATATCATTCGAATGAGTAAAGAAAAAGAACTTGTCATGAATCAATCATAAGAAATGACCTATTCATAATTGTTGCTAGGAAATGATCCTTACTAACCATACTGAAAATGTTTTCATATATATGAAGAAATGCTGTTGAGGTCAAAGAAACGAATTTGATTGGTTCATTGTTTATTCCAACTATTGAAAAGTCAAAGCTGAAGTCTGTGGTGTGTGCGTTTTTTTCACCACTTTTATTCTCAAACAAGAGAAAAAAGAAAGAAATCTCGTTATTTTATTGCTGAAAGATATATTCATTTTAGATTGATGGATGCATTAATTCCCATTCTCAATAAACTTCAAGATGTATTTAATACAGTCGGCTCTGAAAGTATTCAATTACCACAGATAGTTGTAGTCGGCTCACAAGTTTGTTTTTCTAAGCGATATTTACAAAAGCAATTTATCCTTGAAATCTATTGTTATAGAGTGCTGGTAAAAGTTCCGTATTAGAAAATATAGTTGGACGAGATTTTCTTCCGCGTGGTGTCGGTATTGTTACACGACGTCCATTAACTCTTCAACTTGTTTATACACCACCAGAAGATAAATTAGTGCAATGTCAAAGTTTAGGAAGTAATACATCTGCTTTATAAAAACTACTGAATTTCTATACGTATTTTAATAGTGTCGGCACCTGATGAAAATGAATTTGCTGTATTTACACATATTAAAGGTAAAATTTATACGGATTTCAATGAAGTTCGTCAAGAAATTGAAGCAGAAACAGATCGACTTGGTGGAAAAAAGGTTTTCTAATATATAAAGTATCCTATGATAAATTATCATTTTCTACATAGAATATTTCAAATGAGCCAATAACATTAAAAATTTATTCACCGAAAGTTGTAACACTTACGTTAATTGATTTACCTGGTTTGACAAAAGTAAGTTTTCGTGATACTCATTTTTGTTAAAAACGAAATGAATTTAATTCAAAAATTGCAGATACCTGTAGACGATCAACCACTTGATATTGAAAATCAAGTACGAAATTTAATTATGTATTATATATCAAATCCAAATGCTATTATTCTTGCTATAACACCTGCTAATGTAGATTTTTCAACATCGGAAGCTGTTAAATTCGCTAAAGAAGTCGATCCTGAAGGTTGTTTTTTTCTCTTTTAATAAAATAAAATTCTATCTTAAAGAAAAACAAACAATTCTTTTTTTTCTTATTAGGAAGACGAACATTAGCTGTTCTAACAAAACTTGATTTAATGGATCGTGGAACAGATGCATATGATGTACTTTGTGGAAGAATTATTCCTGTTAAATTAGGTATTATCGGCGTTGTTAATCGAAGTCAAGAAGATATTCATAAGAAAAAAGTTCGTTGTAAAATAAAAATTAAAGAATCTATTCTTCTTTGGTTCTTTTTGTTTAGTCAATTGAAGAAGCGCTTCGTTATGAATCTGCTTTTCATCAAAAAAATTATCCATCTATTGCTAGCCGTAATGGAACACCATTTCTTGCTAAAACATTAAATAGAGTATATTTCAAAGCAAAAATAAATCCATGAAATATACGTATAGAAATCCTTTTTTTGTTTTATTTTGATAGTTATTAATGCATCACATTCGAGATTGTTTACCCTCATTGAAAACACGTATTAATCAGATGGTATCTCATTTTCAAGCACTTGTAAATTCATTTGGTGAACCAATCGAAGATAAAGTTGGAGTTTCATATTAACTCAATAAAATATTTAAAATACATTATTCTATAGGGTCGATTGTTACTTCAAATAATAACAAAATTTGCATCAAGTTATTGTGCTACAATTGAAGGAACAGCAAAAAATATTGAAGTTTCAGAATTGTTCGTTTTTTTTAAGTTTCAGAGACATAGCAAAAAATTTTGTTTCGCTAATCATTATTTAGATGTGGTGGTGCACGAATCTGTTATATATTCCATGAAACATTTGCACGTGCTCTTGAATCCATTAATCCATTGGATACTTTAACAACATTTGATATATTGACAGCGATACGAAATGCTACTGTAAGAATTTTTCTTGTCTCAGTTCTAATAATATTTAGTTTGGCTTTAGGGTCCAAGACCTGCTTTATTTGTACCTGAAGTTTCCTTTGAATTGCTTGTAAAACGACAGATAAAACGTTTAGAAGATCCAGGTTTACGATGTGTTGAGCTGGTACACGAAGAATTACAGCGAATTATACAACATTGTGGTGCTCAAGTATGTGGTGTTTTCGTTTTGCTGCTTATTATTTTAACTTTTTAAAATGGTTTTTAAATAAATTTTTAGCAAGAATTTATTCGATTTCCTCGTTTACATGAAAAAATTGTTGATGTCGTCACACATTTATTACGTCGTCGTTTGCCCGAAACCAATCGAATGGTTGAAAATCTTGTTGGTATTGAATTAGCATATATTAATACAAAACATCCAGATTTTCATGAAGCTGGACTTATTCATAAAGCTTTAACGGGTGGTGATTATATTGCAACAGTAAATCCAAGTCAGCCACAACAACCTCCACAAAACAAGTCTCAGCGTGATAATCCACGAGGAAAAGAAAATCAAGTTCGTCACATTAATATATATAACAACAAACAGCACATTTATTATGTCCTTGATCTTTTTATTTTAATAGAATAGTGATGAATCAACAATAGGAAAAGTAGCTTCACATATTCGTATTTCAGGCCAACAAAATCAAACTGATGGTAGTGACAATGAATCAATAGTCAATGGTGAACAATCATCACCCTATATGTCAAATGCTATGGCTAGCTCTTCAACAGTATCATCAATGGTACCTATTAGTGATGGAGTAAGTTTTTAGTTAGTTTTCGACATTTAGAGACAAATATCAACTCATGTTCTGTAAAGACGAATGATTAGTAGAATTCTATTCAGATGTTCTCTAGAAGAAAAAGAAGCATCTATTTTACGAAACAGATATATATTACGGTTTATAATAACTAAAAATGGGATAAGGACGAACGTTATTTTCAAAGATATACCGCCTGATATTCCGCAAAAACAATATCTGCTTATAAGGATTGAAAACTAGTTGGGTAATGATGTTTAAAAAAATAGATTTTCTCAAATTGAGTTTGATGTTAAATATAAGCTCAGAAAATTAAGCTATTCCAAACTATTGACACGTTCTTATATCGTTAGCAATAAAAATTTAACGTTCTTTGAAAAATTTCTCCATGGTTTATTAGTTAACAGAGAAATAATAAACACCTGCCAAAACAGAAAAAATATTCAATAGGTTCATTTATTATTCATTAGGATGTAGTTAAATTATTACAGTCTTTTCTCGTTACATTTTTGTATTTCTATATCATTATAGTTCATATATTCGTCTTGTTCTTCTTTGCTGTTAATTAAAAACGACTTTGTTGCGAAACGTAAGGCATCAATAGAAGCTGGCGTATGCTAATCATACATGCAATTGAGATCGTAATAGAAATTTGGGAATTATCCCGGGAACACGAGTCGAAGAAAATTGTTTTCAGTTGACATCAACATCGTTCTCGATGCCGAAAAAAAACACAATGAATCATTCATTTCTTTTATAATCTTCGGATCTCTTACATTCTCTGAGTTCTGTTCTATAAAAAAAAAATGAAAATTACCTAAAATCTTCTGGGAAAAGACATCAGTACTTCTTCAAACTTCAATAAGAATGAATTAGCATTTGCTCTTTATGTTTTCCATTTAGTCTCATAAATTTTATTCAAATATTTATTTAGACAACAGTCAATTCACGAAAGCTTTCACCGCGTGAACAACGTGATTGTGAAGTGATTGGTAAATATTTTCAAAAATTACATTTTATATTTATTCTTGAATATTTAGAAAAATTAATTCGTTCTTACTTTTGGATTGTTCGCAAAAACATTCAAGATAGTGTGCCTAAAGCCATTATGCATTTTCTTGTTAATTATGTAAAAGATCAATTACAAAGTGAACTTGTTGCATCACTCTACAAAACATCTACACATGAACATGATGAATTACTTGATGAATCTGGTCAAATTGCTCAAAGACGAAAAGACGCACAGGAAATGCTTGAAGTATGATTATTGATTAAAATTGTTTTTTCCTTCTATTTGACACGATCAAATTCTATTTTTCTAGGCCTTACATAAAGCAAATCAAATAATATCTGAAGTTCGCGAAACCCATCTCTGGTGAAAATCAATATAAAATAATACATGAAAGTTGTTTTACAAGTTCATAATATAAAAAGAACTAGAACAAAAATATCAGTCTATTTTTCTTTTTCTTTATTTGAAACAAATCCTTAGATTTCTATCGTACGTGAACGTGGTGATTAGTCAGTCTGTTTTCTTTCTTTTTTTTGTATTTCCATAAAAAGCTCTGTATTTTCTGTTTTTTTTTGTGTACGTGCGATAAGAAGACCTTTCTATGATTTACCTTTTTTTAAAATTTAAAACACGATAATAGAGCAGAAAAAAGATAGCAACTTTTTATGACCATGTTTCTCTTTGAAATTGCTTTGTACGTTCCATTTCACGTAGATAAGCATCTGCTTGCTCATTTGTCATGTTTCCATCTTTGATAAAGACAGTTTTTAATGCATCGGCAATTTGTTCAGGTACTTGTTTAGCATTTCCAGCAAGATAAACTCGTGCTTGTTTATGCGCAATCCATTCCCATACTAAATGACCATATTCAATAATTTTATGTTGAACATAAATTTTATCTTCTTGATCACGTGAATACGCTGGAATATAGATAAGATTAATTTTATCATTTAAAAGATCATTTTCAATGAATGCATCTTTTGTTCGATAGCGACATCCAAAAAATAGCATATTCAATAATTGATTATTGAAACTTCTTTCAAGAATCCAACCACGAAATGGTGCAACACCAGTACCAGGTCCAATCATGAGTGCTGGTCGATCATCATCAATTAAATTAAACGATGGTGCTATTCGCATTAG